TATAAATGGACATGACGGTCACAAAACACCATGGGGATGAACGGATCATTGGAAGACAAATTTTCAAAAAGAAATATGAAAATTCATTTTGTCCCTCTATAACAGCAAATATTTGGAGCTGTTAAAAAGTAGATTTCTGAAGTGATTTGTTATGATGATATTACAGGCCCCTACTGTCTGGCCACCCTAAGCCTTGGTCTATCTAGTTCAAACTATGGTTCTTCTCAAAGTTTATTCTCTGAAACAATAGTCCTTTGATCCGCTTCACAAGAAAAATAATGTGAGGTAAAATAAAATGCTTCCCATTGGTCATAAACATTTACAATCATGAACATTATTTTCATTCATTCCAGACTCACAACTCTTAGGTACTTTATAAAACATATTGCAGTGGGGACAAAAATCTATTTAATTTTCAAAGCCAGTGTTTCTCAGAACTGTTTGATTAATTAACTCTTTCTTTTGTAGTGATTGATTATAATACTTCAAAACTAGTGCTCTTAGAAAGTCATTTTAGGAAATATAATAGTTCATCAATTTCCAAATGCACATTTTTTCCACTTTTTTACCCTCTGAAATTGGGATGTGTCTTATTATTTGATGTCCAGGGTTCAGTGAAATATGATTTTGCCCTAGCAGCTTTCAGGTCAGTTATGTGAGCTGTTTTAGTGATGATTAGGCTCAGTTGAAAGTGACAGACATCCAAAATGACAGTAGCTTGAATAACAGAAATTAATCTCTCCCCAGCAGTTCTGGGGTGGGTGGTCTTCCACTAGAGTTGCATTTCTTGGTGTTGGATTCCCAGGATTCTTTCTTCTTTTTCCATTTTCCAGAGCCTTTATATCCAAGGCCATAAAATGGTTCAGGAATGTTGCTCTATGTTTATCTGTTATACCCAAATTCTTAATAGCAGTAAAATAAAAATAAATCAATAAAAAGTAGTAAAAGCAAAGTGTCAGATGTCTCCTCAGGAAAGTTCTCAGACTCTCTCAATGACACTTCGTCTTGTATTCCACACTCAGTAGCCAAAGGGGGCTCAGGAATATAGTTGTTTTTCTAACCTTCTGTGTACTGAACTAAGATTGTTCTTGCTATGAATAAAGGGAAAGCCTATAAAGGGGGAAAGACGGGAGAACTAGCACTACCTGCTCTGGTGTTTTCCCTGAATGATATTCACCAGAAGTAGATCATTTAAAAAATCAATCTATAAACAGAAAGTAGACAAATATCAAAGCACAGCTCTTTCAGAGTTAAGGCATGAAGGCAACTATTTTCAAAGATGAAAAATTCATTTTACCATTAGCAGCCAGAAAATTAGCCCTTTCCTCTCCAATATCAAAGAGTTTAGAAGAAATTTCTTGGTATGTATGGCCTTAGATTGAGAAGGTCTGAATGGAATGATATTCTCTATTGCCTTCCTTTGATTCTCTGGTCTCTCTGATTACTCAGATTTCAGTGGGGGAAGGTGCAACTAGAAACACAGGGAGTGATTCATATGATGGATACTGTGTAGATATGGGCTCATAGTAGAAACGTCCAGAATGTCTGGAATTTGACCAGTTTGTTCTCAAGCTGCTCTGTGATTGTTCTGATTATTCTTTCAGGCATTTTGATTGAATTAAATATGGGAATTACTGTAAAATATTCTCCAGTGTTAACCACTGCATTTAATTTTTATTAAATTGTTCACAACATCTTTCTTTAATCACTAATTTCTAAATGGAAATATTGAAGTGGAGAGACTGTTCAAATTTAACCTCAAGTTTGACTACTTCTCATTTGGAAATATAATTAGACTAAATTATCTTTTTTAAATGTAAATATCTACCTATTTTGGCTATTGTCATTTTGTAATTTCTGTCACTCTCAGCTGATCTTCTTGATTCTTTGGCTTTATTAAGCTATCTTTTGGCCAAAACAAACAAAAAAGTATTTTTTGAAGCTGGATTTCTATTACCAGTTCCTGAAAGCTGCTGTTCTGTGGTGCTTACCTTAATTTACAGGCTCTAAAAAGCACTCATTTCACAGGGAAATTATGTAATAATTTAATGTAAAAATAGTACTTATATAATAATAGGATACACAATTTCCTCTGTGTTTATTATATTAGATTATCTAGTATCATAAGGCAAATACAATTGTAAAGTAATATATCTCCACCAGGCTTATTTTTAGGAAAAAACAACCAAATAAGTGGTAAAAAATTTTGAAAGACCCAATAGGTGAGCTTCATGAATTGATCTGGTTTTAGTGAGTTGATAAAAATGTTTTAAATAAAAATGTTAGTTTACATGTTGTTTCTCTATTGCTTTACCTTCTTGAGAAGGATTAGTTACTTATACTTTTAAGTTTTTGAACACTATAAATGACAAAAACAAAAATGGATGCTTGTATTATAATTTTACTTAATGTGCCCACAGGTGAAAAACTGATTTTTTAAAAAGATGAAATCTACCAGATAGATAGATATTTTCTTATTATCACCAGGTATGTATTGAATACCTCTCATGCACAGAGCTCTCTAGCAGGTGCTGGAATGTGGAAGTTCAAATAACAGCCCTGCTGAAGTGTGTTTGAAGTAATGGTTATATCTTTATTGCTTCAACAGAGAAGGGAAATATCCTAGCTATGGTATGAATTAAGAATTATGAAGTGATAAAATAAAAACCAATTCCTACTTTTTTGAAACTTGAGGCAGCTTAGTATTATAACTGCTTTAAAGCACATTCATAAGCCAATAATAAAATTGGAAAGTACGAAGATTGCATGAAAAATGTGTACAGTAGTTTCCAATGGGGACTATGTTCTAAGAAGCCCAGGGTATGCCTGAAACCATGAATAGTACAAGCCTTATATATGCTATATTTTTTCTATACATAGATAACAATGATAAAATTTAACTTATAAAGTAGGTACAGTAAGAGATTAACAAAAATAACTAACAATAAAATAGAACAATTTATAACAATACACTGTGATCAAAGTTATGTGAATGTGGTCTCTGTCTCTCTGCCTCTGATAACTGATATGGTAACCAAGATGACTGCTAAGTGAGCAATGAATGAGTGGGGGGTATACAGCAGGGATACACTGGAGGAGGGGATGATGCACAGCCCGGACAGAGTGGAGCAGGGTAGAGCAGTGCAGGATTTTATGGCACTACTCAGAGCAACATACAATTTAAAACTTATGACTTGTTTATTTCTGGGATTTCCATGTAATATTTTCAGACCATGGTTGAACTTGGGTAACCAAAACTGCAGAAAGCAAAACCACTGCCAAGGAAGGACTACTGTAATTCTGTACCAATTAGAAAGACCCCTTAGAAGAATGATTCTGTGTCTCTGAAACTATCTACTCAGAGCAGTAAATTTATTCAGTCCCAACTGTGAGTGTTTGCAGTGTGGTCAATCTAATGGCCTGCAATCCAAAGTCAGCTGGATTTCTATGCTACCACTCCTCATGTTTTCATGCAGCCACCCTCCTGTGACCTGTCTGCTGTTTTCTGTACTTTTTCTCCCATCGCCTAAATAGCAGTGTTTTTAGTAATGAAACTCAGTATTTAGTAACTTTCTTATCAGGTGATAATCTTTCTTCAAATCAAAATGGAACTTTCTCATTAGACCTCAAATTCATAAATATTTTGGGTGGATACCTTTTTAAGCAGATACATAAATTCTCAATTTTACTTGTCAGGAGTAATTTTGTTTGCAATATATTGGGTTATTAGTTTGACCTGTTCAATGTACAATTATAAAACTTTTAAATAGGTAACACTTTAGCTTTCATAGAAATTTCACTTCTGTTGCAAAGCATGTCTGTATTCCTGATAAAGTAGGGGAATGATAATTGGAGCATAGTGTTAAGAATTTTAAAACCTGGGTCTAGTTTCAAGGTTACTTCTTATTTAAAAAGGCAAAAGATTTATACCATCTGAAGAGAAACCAGAGTATCCTTATTTAACTGAGAGGCCTTAACATGTCATTCATTACCTTTTAGAAGTTTGTTTCCTCATTTGTAAAATAGAGTGAATAATATTTGCTCTGATTATATTAGAGCTCCTGAGAAGACAAAATAAAATACTGAGTATTAAAATACTTAAAAACTTTAAAGCAGTCTCAAAAAAGATGCATATGTGTATGAATATGTGTGTATGCATAAGTGATAAAAATAATAGATCCTTATTTGGTTTGAATTCTGATTATTTATGGAAGTGAAGCTTATCACTTTTTGGAAAAGTTTGAGAAAAATCAGGGCATTGAGTTTTAGATTTTCTTTTAGTGATTTGAACAGAGCAAGGTCTATAACATTTAATTTACTTTCTTGGAAAGAGAACAACTAAAATTGACTCTGTCAGGACTTTAACACGGGCTCTTAAGACACAATGGTATTGTATATTTGGCATTACACATTTTCTGAAGTCCTTTTTAATCTTCAAAGGTTTTGTAGTCCTTTTTAATCTTCAAAGGTTTTGTAAATGTCAACCAATTGTCCCAGTTTTGTTTCCCAGGAATTGGTGTAAAATTGCTGTTCCTTGTGGCACCAAGTATGTTAATACATAGTTGCCACAAATGCATTTGTTTCAAAATTGATTTTAAATCACATACACTCTCCAATGTAGGAGAGACATAAAAGTAAGCATTATTTATGAGGCCAAATTTAAACACCATAATGTGGTCTTTCACAAGGATGACCAAAGTGCTGATCTAAGATGATAAGCATTGGCCGAAATTATTATACTCTGTGGTAACCCAGAAAAGCATTCTGTGTATTGTGGTGATTTTGTACTATGTAATGATTCCCTGTATTGAATTATCCTTTTAAAACATATATAAATAGAAATTGGACATAACTAATCCTTTTTTGGGATGTCATTCAGATGATTTAAATGTACAAAATAAAAAATAATAGTAAACATTATAAAAGGGCATGGAATTTTCTTAGAAGGGTTATTGGGTTGCACTTGAAAAAATCTGACACATATGCTGCTTCTTCTATAGGCTCCTTTACCTGCAGTAAGTGATCTTCCAGAGTTTTTTGTTGCTTCTTATAAATGGCCTGGATGGACTCATGGCCCATTGGATCAAAAGAATTGTGCTGCATCATGGGCATTTTCCACTGCAAGTAATAACGTCATTTTAATTGCTTTCTTATACATTCTCCCTTTGTCTCTACATCCTGTAGCAGTAATTAAAAGGGTTGAAAATTTAGAATATTTAAACACTAACATTTGGTTAATTAAAATAAAGTCTTACTTTTACCAGAGAAAGCAACCTGAAAATTACGTAAAAATCAATTTTACTCTGACAGTTGGTCTGTAGGGCCTAATCTTAAGTAGAGAGTAAAGCAAAAGAGCAACAAAGAAAAGTTGCCAAATTTAAACAAATTTTGAGAATTAAGGCCAGATAATTAGAGGGGTATAAGGTTCCTTTTTTATGCATATTATAATACTAATATACACATATTCATGTAATTCTTAAACTCTTTTCTTTTTTTTTTAAGATTTTATTTATTTATTTTTAGAGAGGGAAAGGGGGGAGAGAGAGAGAGAGAGAGAGAGAAAGAGAGAGAGAGACATCAATGTGCAGTCTCTGGGAGTCATGGCCTGCCACCTAGGCATGTGCCCTGACTGGGAATTGAACCTGCGATGCCTGGTTCGCAGCCTGCGCTCAATCCACTGATCTACGCCAGCGAGGGCTTTTTTTAAAAAAAATATTTTAACTCTTTTCTTTTAAAAATATATTAAATTGGTAAACTAATTTGATATAAAGTAAGACCAGAGTTAACTGACAAAGGATTAAATGGGCTTAATCTCACGTTAGATAGAAACAAATATATAGGTTCTGAGTCTAAAGAAATATAACTGGTTTTCTCATATAAGTAATTTCTAATTAATGTTGTTTATTGTTCAAAAGTGTAACAGTGTATCTTTTATAGCTATTTTTGTATTAGTTCACAAGTCCAGTAAATCAGTACTCAGGTTAATACCAAGATTTGGTCTCCAAATAATCCTCAGAGGAGTATGCATTCCAGCAATTAAATTGACACTAACATAATGTTTATTGGCTGCTATCAAAGACCTTCATAAAACTGTGCTCTAAGCTTTAAAGGTAATTTCAAAAGAGCACTCAATACCAGTCTAAGCACCAAAAGCACTGTCAAATCAGTACATAGACTCTTAGAAGAGCCGGCTCTGAAGAATGGCATTCCTTGGGACAGAAAAGTGCTGATATCTTTTGTAAATATTATTACTTCATAGTATCAACTGGCTTGTTCTAGAAACAGTGCCATTAGCCAAGGTCGCCTCCTAAGTGGCTCCCTCTGTTAATGCTGTGCTACTGCCCACGCCCCCAGGATAAACACTCCTGGACTGTTGGATGCCTGTCCTCACTGTGGTAAAGATATACAGGGGGACCTCACTGAGTCCTGATGCAGATGGGTAGAAAGATGTTTAATCAGATAATTCATTTGTCATTTTATATTCATGTGGTTAATGTATTACACCTCCTAGGTGATATGTAAGAATTTTGCTTTAACTTCAGGTTAGACCAGTATTTCTGAAGATGTCTTAGGGAAGATGGTGGTGGTAAAATGCTGACAGTAAACTCACTAGGCTGATTTGGACAGTGTGTTTCAGGAACCCTAGGTCACCTACCCTCAGTAGGCCTCAGTGCAGGATTAAGTCTGCATTTGTCCCATATCTAACTCACCAAAACAACAGAGAGGAGTTTTCTGCACTTTTATGGTTTTAGAGGACACAGTTTCATATCCTGTGTGTTCACCATAGAAAACAAGGCTGATGCTATTTTTTTAAAGGGTTAAGTAAAGAAAAGAAGAAACTAGGTTATTGTAAAGATCTAGAAAATTCTATCAAGAAGCAGTAGTTAAAATAACAATAATCATCTTTTAAAGAAGCTAAAAGCTATAAAATGGAATAAATAGGACATTAACATATATACACATGTAAATAAAGAATTACTCAGTCACATCAAATCTGAGCATCATGCGAGCAGCTGAGGAGGTGAAGGAGCTGGAAATGGCAGCAGTGACACAACTACGGGCCAAAGTTGGAGACAGAGTGAAATAAGCAGAGAAAATAATAAAATGTGTTTCAGAGGTAAAGCCCAATAAAAGTTTTTATAAAGAGACTGAAAAATAATATGCTAAGCTGAGTCATTCTTTAATCTTCTGACCTTTTCTAAGTATTCTAGTGAATTTGGGTTAAACCTTCACTGAGGTTCAGACATGTCTATATAAAAGCAACATGTTGTATACCATCAGAATTTGAATTACTTATACTTTAATTGAAATTTCAGATTCATGGGGCTGGAAGGGATCTTCGAGGTCACCATTTTCAAGTCTTTGGTTTTATAAAAGAGGCACATATAGGTAAAGTGGTTTACCCAGAGCCAAAAGCCAAGCAGTAACAGAAATGATCCTGGAAGCCAGATTTTTGACTTCTTGAATATTGTTTTCTCTACATTGTAAAGTATATTCTGAGCTGAAGGACAGTTACAATAACATTTCAAAAATTTATATCTGATTCTGAACTTTTGTATAGGAAGTCAAAGCATCAAAAGATTTCAGTTTTCTTTTATGGAGAAGGGAATTATTTTATTGAGAATAGCAGAGGTGGCAGTATAATGTTATTTGCTTCTGTGAAATACATCCTAGCCAGATAATAGTTGGGATTGAGAAGGGAGGAGGAGGATATAGACTCAACACATGTTGAGCATCTGAAATGCTCCAGCATTTGTACCAGGGAATTGTGCATGTGCTGCAGTTACACAAAAACCATGTCTATACAGAAACACATATGTCGATGAATTATTTAAAATAAATTATTTTACAATGATTTAAAATTAGCATTTTGAGGGATTGTAGTACCCAGACAATTTTGATGAGCAAAAGCAACAACTTTTTCTGAGAAAATTGGTTGGTTGGATAGAAGAAAAGTTATGATTTTGATGTTTTTAATTAAAAGAGACTAAACATAAAAGGCAATGAATAAGTTCCTATCAATAATAACCTTAAATGTAAATGGATTAAATGCTCCAATCAAAAGACATAGAATAGCTGATTGGATAAGAAAACATGACCCACACATATGCTGCCTACAAGAGACCCAACTCAGGATAAAAGTCCTGCACAGGCTGAAAGTGAAGGACTTGAAACAAATTTTCCAAGCAAATGGACAGGAAAAAAAAGCCGGGGTAGCAATACTCATGTAGGACAAAATAGACTTCAAAAAAGGGCCATAAAGAGAGACCCAGAAGGTCATTTCATAATACTCAAGGGAAGAATCCACCAAGAAGACATAAATATTGTAAATATATATACACCCAACATAGGAGCACCCAAATACATAAAGAAAATCTTAGACGACTTTAAGAAAGATATTGACAGCAACACAATTATTGTGGGGGATTTTAACACCCCACTATCAAAAATGGACAGATCTTCCAAACAAAATATCAACAAAGATATTGTGGCATTGAACAATACCCTAGATGAAATGGGCTTTACGGATATATACAGGACCCTCCATCCCAAAGAAGATAAATACACATTCTTTTCAAATGTACATGGAACATTTTCAAAGATAGACCACATGATAGGACACAAAACAAGTCTCAACAATTTCAAAAAGATTGAAATCATACCAAGCATTTTCTCGGATCACAAGGGACTGAAGCTAGAAACCAACCCCAAGGGAAAAAACCCAAAACACTCAAAATCATGGAGATTAAATAGCATGCTATTAAACAATGAATGGTATTAGGGAAGAAATCAAAAGGTTTCTGGAAACAAATGAAAACGAACTCACAACAACCCAAAAGTTATGGGACACAGTGAAGGCAGTCCTGAGGCGGTGAGTCCTGTAGAGCGATACAGGCCCACCTAAAAAAGTTAGAAACATTTCAAACAAACAACCTAACCCTATGTCTACAAGAACTCAAGGAACAACAACAAAGACAGCCCAGAGCAGGTAGAAGGAAGGAAATAACCAAGATCAGAGCAGAATTAAATGACATAGAGACTAAAAGCACAATTCTAAGGATCAATGAATCCAAGAGCTGGTTCTTTGAAAAGATAAACAAAATCAAAAAGCCTTTAAGCAGACTCATCAAGAAAAAAAGAGAGAAGACCCAAATAAACACAATCAGAAATGAAAGAGGAGAGATTACAACTGATACCACAGAAATACAAAAGATTGTAAGAAATTACTACGAAGAACTGTATGCCAAAAATATTGAAAACCTAGATGAAATGGACAAATTTCTAGAAAAATATAATCTTCCAAAACTCAATGGAAAAGAAGCAGAAAGCCTGAACAGACCAATAACAGCAAAAGAAATTGAAGCAGTAATCAAAAAACTCCCAACACACAAAAGCCCTGGACCAGATGGTTTCATAGGAGAATTCTACAAAGCATTTAAGGAAGAACTAACCCCTATCCTTCAACAGACTATTTCAAAAAATCCAAGAAGATGGAAGACTCCCAAACTCTTTTTATGAGGCCAACATCATCCTAATGTCAAAACCAGATAAAGACACAACAAAGAAAGAAAATTTCAGGCCAATATTGCTGATGAACATTGACGCTAAAATCCTCAACAAAATACTGGCAAACCGCATCCAACAGTACATTAAAAAGATCATACACCATGACCAAGTCGGATTCATTCCAGGGATGCAAGGATGGTACAATATTCACAAATCAGTAAATGTAATACATCACGTAAACAAAAGCAAAGACAAAAACCATATGATCATATCAATAGATGCAGAAAAAGCATTTGGTAAGGTACAGCACCCATTCATGATAAAAACACTCAGCAAAGTAGAAATAGAGGGAGCATTCCTCAACATAATAAAGGCCATATATGAGAGACCTACAGCCAACATCATACTCAATGGGCAAAAATTAAAATCTTTTCCACTAAGATCAGGAAAAAGACAAGGCTGTCTATTTTCACCACTTCTATTCAATATAGTACTGGATGTTTTAGCCACAGCAATCAGACAGGAAAAAGAAATAAAAGGCATCCAAATCGGAAAGGAGGAAACAAAACTGTCACTGTTTGCAGATGACATGATAGTGTACATAGAAAATCCTATAGACTCCACCAAAAAACTGCTCAACCTAATAAATGAATTTGGCAAAACAGCGGGACACAAAGTCAATATCCAGAAATCAAAGGCATTTCTGTGCACCAACAATGAAACAGCAGTAGCAGAAATCAAGAAAAAAATCCCATTTGAAATAGCAAAAAGAAAAATAAAATACCTTTTATCTTAAAATAAAATAAACCTAACCAAAGAGGTAAAAGACTTGTATTCAGAAAACTACATAACACTGAGGAAAGAAATAAAGGAAGACACAAATGGAAACATATACCGTGTTCATGGACTAGAAGTATTAATATCAAAATGTCCATACTACCCAAAACAATTTACACATTCAATGCAATACCTATTAAAGTACCAATGGCTTATTTCACAGACATAGAACAAACACTTCAAAAATTTATATGGAATCATAAATGACCCCGAATAGCTGCTGCAATTTTGAGAAAGAAGAGTAAAGTAGGAGGGATCACAATACCTGACACTAAACTATACTACAAGGCCACCGTAATCAAAATAGCCTGGTACTGGCATAAAAACAGGCACATGGACCAATGGAACAGAACAGACAGCCCAGAAATCAACCCAAGTCTCTACAGTCAATTAATATTTGACAAAGGAAGCAGCAACATAAAATGGAATAAAAATAGCCTCTTCAACAAATGGTGTTGGGAGAACTGGACAGCTACGTGCAAAAAAAAAGAAACTCGAGCACCAACTTACACCTTATACAAAAATAAATTCAAGGTGGATAAAAGACTTAAATATAAACTGTGACACCATTAAAGTCCTAGAAGAGAACATAGGTAGGAAAATCTCAGATATTTCATGCAGAAACTTTTTTACTGACATGTCCCCTAGAGCAAGGGACATAAAGGAAAGAATAAACAAATGGGACCTCATCAAAATAAAAAGCTTCTGCACAGCTGAAGAAAACAGTATCAAAATAAAAAGAGAACCAACTGTATGGGAAAACATATTTGCCAATGATACCTCAGACAAGGGTTTAATCTCCAAAATATATAAAGAACTTACATGACTCCACTCTAAGACAAGTAACCCAATTAAAAAATGGGCAAAGGACTTGAACAGACACTTCTCCAAGGAGGACATACAGAAGATCCAAAGACACATGAAACAATGTTCAATATCACTAGCTCTCAGAGAGATGCACATTAAAACCACAATGAGATACCACTTCACACCAGTCAGAATGGCCATCATAAACAAAGCAACAAACAACAAGTGTTGGAGAGGTTGTGGAGAAAAGGGGACCCTAGTGCACTGCTGGTGGGACTGCAGACTGGTACAACCACTATGGAAAACACTGTGGAACTTCCTCAGAAAACTAAAAATGGATCTGCCTTTTGACCCAGCAATTCCACTGCTGGGACTCTATCCTAAGAATACTAAAACACCAATTCAAAAGAACCTATGCATCCCAATGTTCATAGCAGCACAATTTACAATAGCTAGATGCTGGAAGCAACCAAGATGCCCATCAGTAAATGAATGGATCAAAAAACTATGGTACATTTACACAGTGGAATTCTATGCAGCAGAAAGAAAGAAGGAGCTCCTACCCTTTGCAACAGCATGGATGGAGCTGGAAAGCATTATGCTAAGTGAAATAAGCCAGGCAGTGAAAGACAAATACCATATGATCTCACCTTTAACAGGAACCTAAACAACAAAACAAAGAAACAAGCAAAATATAACCAAAGACACTGAAATAGGGGACAGACTGACAGTGACCAGAGGGGAGAGAAGAGGGAATTTCAGGGGAGACTGGGTAGGGTTTACAGGAACAAATTTAAAGGACACATGGACAAAAGCTAGGGGGAGGGTGGTAATGGGAGGGAAGTGGGGAGCGATGGGTGGGTGGGCTGGAATGGGAGTAAAAGGGAGAAAACTGTACTTGAACAATGATTAAAATAAAATTTTTAAAAAATGAAGGAATAATAAACTTTTTTTAAAGTCTGAAAAAAAAATAAAAGAGGCTAAACATCAAGACTGAGACTATACTGGATGACGACAATCTGTACCAAAATGGCACCCACCCCAGTTTTTTTTTGTGATCTTATTACTCATACTAGTTTATCATGGGAGCATGATCAAAATGAAAACATGCATAGTTTTCTGCTACTGATTGATTAGTATGACTGTCTTGTTTCTTGTTCATCATTATAATGTCTAGTGCTTACCACAGCTGTCATCTTAGTAGGTGGTCAGTAAATATATGTTTGGGAAAGAGATGAATTGATGAACAGCAACCATGCTGTGAAATTATTTAAACAGAAGAATGTAAGGTTCAATCATAAAAGGCATATATATCTATATATCTATATATCTATATATCTATATATCTGTGTGTGTATACATATACATATATGTGTGTATACATATATATGTATGTATGTATATATATGTGTATATATTCAGAGTCTACTGAAATAAGATTAAGATCATGATTTTCAAGAATATAATACACATAAGAAAAGTGTGCTATATAGCTTTTGAATGTTTTATAAGATAGATTCATATTACCTGGATAATTTAAGAATGGTCTCTTGGGCAATTAAACTGGGTATCAGTTTAAATACCAAAAATTCAGTGTTTTCCAATACATCAGATTAACATAGATGAATTTCCAATTAATATTTCTATGATAAGTGTTTCTGATTTCCTTAGTTGCATTAATTTAAAAAATATACACTTATTCATGACTATATGTAAGGTACTGTTCTAGGTGCAGGAGCTACAAATGTAAGTAACATATAGCTCTGGCCCTAAAGCCACTTGACTGATTTCTTAATGAAGAATTCAGAGGTATATGGAACATGAAAGAAACAAGGAAGTAGAAAAGTCTTTGAAGTTGATAAGACAATGGATAATACCAAAATCAGATAAAAACTATGACTGGAATTATAATATAGTTAACTTATTAGAATATGTAAATATATTAATGATATTTTTGCCTTAATTTTAAATTACACAAAGTTTAGAAGACAGGTTTAGGGTTCAAAATAAAAAGGGATATGGAAATTATTAGAAATATCATATGCCATTTTAATATTAACCAATATTTTATTTGAAACAGGTGTGGCCGCTGACCGAATAGCAATTCAGTCTAAGGGGCGATACACAGCCAATCTGTCTCCTCAGAATTTGATTTCTTGCTGTGCCAAGAACCGCCATGGCTGCAACAGTGGAAGCATCGATAGGGCTTGGTGGTACCTGAGAAAACGTGGGTAAATAGCTGCCCAATATGTATTTCTAAGAGTCTTATGAGGGCTGCTTAGGGTTAGAATAAAGAAAAAAATATATATATTTCAAAGTTTTAAAAAAATGCACAAATGTATATGCTAAATCTATATAAATATATGTTATATTTGGTATCTAGTGGGTTTATAAGTTATTGGAAACAATTATTTAAAGAATGTCTACTTCCTAGCTACATTAATAGAAAGATTCAAGTAAGCCCTGCCTTCTTGTTTCTATGAGCCAAATGGCTCTACTGAATCCCCATGGAGTGAATATAGTAATTGATATCATTGATACTTCCACTGAACCTTTGAGTTACCCAACTATATGAGTAGATAATGTCAGGTAAGTTAGATTAAGAATCAGATGAATAAAATAAAGGAGTAATTTACAGTTGCCTCAGTTCATCAATATCATTAACTGTCTGCGTCCCATTTGACAAGAAAAGGCAGGTTGCATTGCTTTACTCTCAAGTGCTCTGATAATCCACATAGCACTCTCATGTCTACTTTGAGAGCTCATCCACTTAAGAGCTGAGGTCTTTGGCTAAGTAAACTGTAGATGATAACTAGTAGTATACATATGTACTGCTCATCTTTTATTTCCTTGTCCAGTCAGTGCTCTGCAGCTGCTATAGCACAGACATGTGCTGTGAAAAAGTGGGTGTCAGATATTGATGAGTGGTAATAAATTAAAAAAAAAAGTTTCTTTCATATTTCTTATGTTTTGCCTACTAAGGCAGTACTTAGAATGGACAACTTGGACTGATACCTTCCTCGCATACTAGTGCTTGTTTAGCTTCTGTTTTGTACTATGATAAAAATTAAAGCCCTTTAGGAGGTTCATAAAAGTGATCATTGAGACCCAACTAAGTTTCATTGTATTAGTCTGCTTAGGTTGACATAAGATAGCATAGACTGGATGTCTTAAACAGTAGGAGTTAATTTCTCACAGTTCTAGGGGCTGAGAAGCCCAAGACCAAGGTGTAGCCAATTCAGTTCTTGGAGAGAGCCCTCTCCCTGGCTTACTGCCTCTCTGTGTTCTCACTGGACGGAGAGGGAGTTCTCCTGTCCATATATGGACACTGATTCCATTATAATTCCATAATGAGCCCCAACCTCATTACCCCATTGAAAGCTCATTATCTCCTAAAGGTCCCATCTTCAGATACCATGGCACTGGGGATTAGGGCTGTAACATGTGATTTTGGGGGTGACACAATTCAATGGAAAACACTCATTATCCCATTTAAGGAAAGATTTTTTTTTGAAGCAGTTGGTGTTTTCAGTGACTCTGCTTTCATTATGCTCGTTGCCTAGATTTTTTTACTCTCATGAACACTTTTGAATTTTCTTGACCCAATCTTATTATATAATCTTATAGCCAATTCTATTGTTTCATTTTTTACCATCTGCTTCTTTATTCAATGAGCAAAATAATTTGTACGTTTTTATGTTCAATTTCAAAATTTGAGATTAAAATTGTTTATCTTTTGTGTAATATCTGATAATTTTTGACTTTATTAACTTTAAATATCAAATTAACATATAGTATTTCTCCAAGTATCATGAACTACAGACATATAATAGTTGAAGTCATAGGAGAGGGTATCTATAACTTAATAAAAATATAAAAATATCCTCAATTATAAAACATAATTTATCAGAATACTCCATCTAAATATAATAAAATTTATTGTCTTTTTTACATTAAATTTGCCTCTTCTACATTGTAATTATAGATGCAGAATGAAGAAGTACTTCCTCTATTAATATTACCACAGATTTTATTGATAGTCACTTTTCATCTCCAGAAAATTCTATAATGTAGATAGAATTACTTATTTAAGTGGATTAAAGCAAGATTTAAAAAATTATAATGAAGAAATAAGAGGGGGTGGGGGAGAATGTAATATCAGTGAACTGCTCTTTTAGAATCAAAGTTACATATGTGAGTAAACAGAATTTAATTCAGTAAAATTGCATTTGGATAGGATATTATAGCATTTTCCTAAATATTATTTTTACCTTTTTGCTTATTCCTCGTAGACTGGTATCCCATGCATGCTACCCACTTTTCAAGGACCAAAATGCTACCGGTAATGTCTGTGCCATGGCAAGCAGGTCTGATGGGCGGGGAAAACGGCATGCCACAAAGCCATGTCCCAACATCATTGAGAAATCTAATAGGATCTACCAATGCTCTCCTCCATACAGAGTCTCTTCCAATGTAAGTCTAAATGGCACGGATTAATAGTGGTTAACTTGTTCAAAATCTATAGCCCTGCTGTTATTAAAACTATTTAAGAACTATTTAAAATGATAAAATTCTAAGATAATGCTATGATTTGAGGTATAATTTTTTGATGTTCTTAAAGTGCTCATTAAAGACTTCCAATTTGGTTATGATTTCTGATCTTTGTAATATTAGCAGTATAAATGATTGGCTTACATTTAAAAATGTCCATGGAACTAGAGTTTTTAAATTATGTTTTAATTAATTAATATACTTTACAAGTAAAAGCTAAATCAAACCCCTTTTTGCTGACATTTCAGTTGTTGTAGTAGCTCATTTTATAATTTTTTGCCTTACTCCACAAAATAATTAAGGTAGCTGCAATGGGAAGAAGACACCCTTGGATTCCAGTTTGTCATATCAAAATCACTGGCAAATTTTACTCTGTCATATCAGTGCTACCCAAACCTTGTCACTTTCAGAATGTCTGGACCTTCACTGTCTTCCAGTTACCTGTAGAATATGGTCCAGTATTCTTATGATGACACAAAGGATTTCATGATTTGGTTCTGACTACTGTTTTTGCAGACTCTTGTCTGGCCAGCATCTACCCCTCTACCCACCCATAATGCACCTGATTTAAGGACTACTGTCTGCTTCCTAGGTATACCATGTTCTTTCATGCTTCTATAATTAGCCAAGTGATGATTCTTCTTACCCAAATGGTTATCCCACCTATTTTCATCTGGTAAAATCCCACATGTCTCAAGGTCCAGGTCAAAACTTGATCTTCCCTGTGAGGTTTTCTTGACTTCTAGGTAACATTAATTTCTCTTTCTTTTTTGTGTCTATGGTACTTTGAGCTTGTCTCTATAACAGAACTTATCAGTTCATTGTGTTACTGTCTATTCCACCAAACATAAAAACATTGAGGATAGGTTCAGGGTCAATATTTGTTACTATCCTGGTTTCCTGTGGTATATACTCTGTGATACATGTGCATAGAAGTATGAATGAATGCATAACCTGGCTCTTTACTAAGGGCTGCATTACACATTGGGTAGCAACATTTGTGTGCTAAATCTACACTAAGGAAGTTTGCTAAGCATGCATCTGGTATTGCTCCTGTGATCAAAAGAATGGACATGGCACTAATCACCAATAATTAACCATGGTTTTATTTTTTAAAAGATATTATTTATTTATTTTTAGACAGAAGATAAGGGAAGGAGAAATAGAGGGACAGAAACATCAACGTGTGGTTGCCTCTCATACTCTCCTGACTAGGGACCTGGCCCGCAACCCAGGCATGCCCTTTGACTGGTAATCAAACCAGCAACCCTTTGGTTCGCAGGCTGGAACTCAATCCACTGAGCCACACCAGCCAGGGCAAAACATGGTTTTAACTTAATTATTTTTTTAAAGATTTTTATTTATTTATTTTTAGGGAGAGAAGGGAGGGGAGAGAGAGAGAGAGAGAGAGAAACATCAATGTGCGGTTGCTGGGGGTTATGGCCTGCAACCCAGGAATGTACCCTGGCTGGGAATCGAACCGGGGACACTTTGGTTCCCAGCCTGCGCTCAATCCACTGAGCTACGCCAGCCAGGGCTAACTTAATTATTTTTTGTCACCCTAAGAAACTATCATATTTTCTCTCCATTCCAAAATTATTATCAGTGTTAAAGTCAGTGAAATAAATGGGTGCATCTTGTTTTAACAACTTTATCAGTGGGGCATTTTACATGTGAGTATTTCAAAGCATGATTAAAGGTAAGCTGTCAAGGCACACTGGGTTGTGCAGTCACTCCTAAGCTGATTGTACAACATTTAACAGACACCAGACAATGGACCTAGTGTGCTCTGATAACAGTGACCATGCTCAATTATATTATTCCTTCTAGGAAACTGAAATAATGAAAGAAATCATACACAATGGACCAGTTCAAGGTAAGCTTGGATGAAATATGGTTGCATGATACCCATTCCTTTAATTAACATTACATTTTAGTTCATGTAAAAGGAACTTAATAAAAGAAAGAAAATTTTTACTTTCAGAGAATTCCTAAGGGTTCAACAGTTAGTTTTAAGGTCAGTGCAATCATGGAAAAATATGCTCACTTAATAACTTCATTAGGTGCATTTTATTTTAAGAAAATAGATTCACCCATAAATTGAATTCCTAAATATTCATGACACATTTGATGAAAGTCTGCTAAATCTTTCCAAAGTGATCATGAACCCAGCAGACAGTCAAACATGAAACACTAAGCGATGAGCTCATTTAATTGTTTGGTCATATTTAAAAATCATACATAGTGTTAGAAATTTTCTTACCTTCAGTTTAAATGGATCAGATAATGAATTGCAAAAAATCAAGGTATTGCAGTAGAAATAAAGTATCTACTTTTCTTTTTCTATAAACTCAAAATAAACCAAGTAAGCCAGTATGATTTTGTGTTTTATAAAAGGCTGTCTATTTTTTATCAATTTTCTAAACATGTAATGGATAGTAAATAAATAATAAATTAAAAAATAAAATATTTACTGTACATTGACTGATTTTTAAGATATCACCTCTGATATGTAGTTCCTCTGCTTATTTAATTTTACTTTGCACCAATTGCACAGCTAAAGATACAGTCACAGCATCTATTCTCTACCAAACCTTGCCCCAAAGAGCACAGAAACACACATCTAGAAGGCTCAAAATGGAAATTCAGGTTGTGAACATTGAAGGGTCCAGAATATATTATCAGTGTAGTAGGTTAAACCAAATACATTTATATTAAGCAAAGAAATTTAAATAAACCTAAACTTAAATGTAAAACATTTGATGTATATCTAAGGAACTGTTGGCTAGTTTTTGTTTTTGAAGTGCTGAATGCTGACCTAATTAGTACTGATTCAATATCCAGCAGTAACCATGGATTTTTGTGTTGGAATAATTAGTGTTTATTGTTATCACCACTGAACATTTATTGAAAAACTGAAGCTTACACTAAACACATCCTGAACCATGTTTAATTTAAAAAACCTGGGACCTTACACAAAATCTAGAACAAATGAATAGAAATACTTTTTCTTCCTTACATTTGTGTCATTTTTGTTGGCTGTTATAAGAAAAGAGCAATTCGTGTGTAATTTAAATATATACTTCAGGGAGTGGAGTTTGTGTGACAAATTTGAAAGAGTACAGGCATTTGAACTCAAGGATGAATTCAAAAATCCAACTTTGATATTTGCTACTTAAATGACTTTGGGCAAGCTATTTAACCTCTCTGAATCTTCACTTAATTATTACTTTCATAAGTTCTCTCTCTCTGTCTCTCCCCTCTGTCAAGAGATACTTGAATCATTATTATTTAAAACTGAAAACACTTTAGGTTTTTTATGGTCATATACTTAAATGATTGTGAATTTCACCTAACTAGGAAAAAATAGATACAATTTCAAAATAATAAATTGAAATGCAAAGTATTCAACAACCACTGAACAATGTTTATGAGAACCTCTCTCCTGCCAGCCTGAGCCAGGAGCAAAAGACAGAGTTGCCGTGAAGGCAGGCTTCATCCTGCATGTGGTAATTCTGTATGTTTGCTGCAGTTTTCCAAAAATAAAATTGCACTGCAGTACTTTGAATAGTTTGATGTTTGTGGGTTCATCAAGTCTGTTTTGGTGCCCAAAACTGAAGGAAAAAGCCACTCTCAAGTTTATTGTGATAACTTCTCACCCATTTTTCTTTAGTTGACAGTGTTTTTCAGAAATGAAAAGTGTATTTTATTCATGGTGGTTACGAGAGAGTTGGGACAAGCTAAAGAAGCCTGTGGTTCTATAGAAGAGGAAAATCACTAGCAAATTCTCCCATTTTTGTAAATGCTGATTGACTCTTCTTTCTGTAGATGCAATGTGATTGTTTGCCCATTGTTGCCTGGCCAACATTGTGCACTTCTCCTGCCTCAATGCAAAAGGACATAAAAGGCAGCAGAGTGCTGAATAAATAACACTATGTGCATTCTTCTAAAATATGTAGAACTAAAAATAAGTTTAGGTTATGGAAAGAGAACAAAAGCAAAGATCTTCATAGAATACAGTTATATAAATTCTTAAAAACCTATGGGAATATGTTTTAAAGTTGATAAAAAAGTAATGTTTTGAGAATATTTGAACAGCATCAGGAAAGGTATGGAACATTAGAAAGTTTTATTTGACTTTGGAGTAGAAGCTTCATTTTAGCCAGTGACTTTAGCTCCTGTTTTATTGAAAATGCATGTTAAACTGAGATAAACAAGCATTTTACACAGTTGGGAGATAGACAAACATTGTATGTAGTTATGAAGGTATACTTATCTTGCGGCTCACATCTTCTAGAAGAGATGTTTAAAGTCTTCACCTTGAATTACCCAAGCCCTTCAACAAAGTGTACAATGCAGAAAAGAAGTAATCTAGGTGAGGGCAAAAAGTATAAGCTTTTACTTTCCAAAGGACACAACATTGCCTTAGCTCTTCAGAGCTGAGAGGATGAAATTCTTTTGCCAAGAGTTTCCTTTTTATTATTAGCTCACTAAAGGAAAATTTGTATTTATTTCTAAGGATTAGGGACAATTACTTTAAGCCCAGTTTACCCTTCACTGCTAGCTTAATTGGAGTTTTAAGAGGCTTCTGGTGAAGTATAATGTTAATAGAAAAATTGCAAATCATTAGCCAAGTGTGGTGGTTCTTCATGGCAAGAAACTCAACTCCTTGTTAGGGGTGTCCAAACTTTTGGCATCCCTGGCCCACACTGGAAGGAGAACAGTTGTCTTGGGCCACACATTAAATATACAAATACTAAGAAAAACAAAAAGAATCTCAATGTTTTAAGTAAATTTGTGATTTTGTGTGAGGCCTCATTCATAGCCATCCTGGGCCACATGGGGCCCATGGGCTGCGGCTTGGACACCCCTGCTGATAATAGTGCCTCTATCAATTAAGAATAGATAGTATTTCAAGGGTATAATGATAATGTCTACTTAACTACTACTCAAACAACAAAAGTTCTTATTAGAGAATAAGAAAGTATTGCTGCCACATATAAGTGATATCATAGGGTACTTGTTTTCTCTGACTGGCTTATTTCACTTAGCAAAATACTCTCTAAATAAATGAACAAACAAAATAGAAACAGATTAATAGATATAGAAACAGACTGACAGCTGTCAGGGGAGGAGGCTGGGTGAAAAAGGCAAAAGGATTAAGCAAAAAGCCCTCTAAAACTCAGACACAGACAACAAACAGTGTGGTGATTACCAGAAGGAAAGTCGGGGTGAGGTAATGGAGGGTAAGTCATTACTTGACTTGGAGTAGTGAACCCACAATATCATATACAGATGATGTATTATAGAATTGTCCACCTGAAATAATTTTATTAACCAATGTCACCCCAATAAATTCTATTAAAAAAGGAAATATTGCAACCAATTACATTAAGCAGAAATTGGAATTAGGCTATATTAAAAATTCCCTCCTTAAATTCTACTCCTGGGGAACTTCCAGTCAAGATGGGTGGTGTAGGCAGACATGATTCTCCTCTTTGCACAATGACATCAAAATTACAACTAAAATATAGAACAACTATCACTCAGAAACATAAGAAATCAAGTTGAATGGAAGTCCTATACTACAGAATTAAAGAAACCACATCCATCCAAACTGGTAGGAGGGGCACAGATGCAGAATGGGCTAGTCCCACACCCACATGTGGTGGATAAAAATTTGGGAGGGTATTTCAGGAACCAGGAGTCCCAGCCCCACACCAAGTCACACAGCCCAGGGTTCCAGTGCCAAGAAGGTAACTCCCCACAACTTTGGGAATTGAGTTGGTGGAAGAAACTTCTGGAGCCCCAAGCAGTTCCTCTTATAGAATCCCCACACTGATACATCTACTCAGACTGCTGGAGCTCAGTCTCCAGAGCTGTGGTGGCAGCTTAAAGGGCATCAGTGGCATACTGGGAGAGGCTGAACTGTCTCTTGGGATGAGCAGAGGCCATTATCCCTTTTCTGAGTCCTCCCCCCCACAGAACCATGGGACCAGCAAGCTGGTGTTCCATTTGAGACTGCATCAACCTGGCTAACACTATTTGATCCACCTTGGAGATCCTCAGAGACTCCGTGCCACCCAGCTTCTGGGCCCACTCAAGCTGCATTTCCATATGAATTGCTAGTCTTGGCTCATATTGCAAAACTTCCTAAAACCCATCAAATAAACAACAACCCCAGGCCTGGCACTAGCAACAGCAAGCCTAGATTCACAGGTTAGCTTTGCTTGGGAATCTCCAATCCCAGCACTAGTAGCAGCCATCTCAGATTGCTTTATCAATCAGGCAGGGTGGCCACAGGCAAAATACAGGTGAGGGCTGACCTTGTCCTACACCACCCAGGAAACCCCAGAGCCAGTGAACCCAGTGGATAACTACAGATCATGATAGAGCACCACCACCCTGCCCCTGCACAGCTGATCCTCCACAGAGGGTGGAGGTTGGTGGTCAGTGATCACAGCCAGTCCTTGAAGCTGACTGGCCTGGGTGAATCCCTCCCATTGATCTGCTAACAGCAACCAAGGTCAACTATAAGAAGAGGGTGTACTCAGCCCAAGGGTACACCTGGAGTACCCAGCTTGGGTGATAGGGGAGTCTGTGCCACTGGATCCTACAGTGCATCTACTACATTAGGCCACACTACCAAGATACAGAGTCAAAGCATCTCTACCTAATACATAGAAACAAACACAGGGAGGCTGCCAAAATGATGAGACAAAGAAACATGGCCCAAATGAAAGGACAGATTAAAACTCCAGAAAGAACTAAACAAAATGGAGGTGAACAATGTCAGATGCACAATTCAAAACACTGGTAATAAGGATGCTCAAGGAACTCAGTGAGGATCTCAGCAGCATAAAAAAACCCAGGCATAAATGATCGATATACCAATGGAAATAAAGAACAATTTACAGGGAATCAACAGTAAAATGGATGAAGCCAAGAACCAAAGTAATGATATGGAACATAGGGAAGCAAAAAACACCCAATCAGAACAACAAGAAAAAAGAGTCCACAAAAACAGGATAGTGTAAGCAGCCTTTGAGACAGGTTCAAGTGTTCCAGCATTCACATTATAGAGGTACCAGAAGGAGTAGAGAAAGAGCAAGAAATTAGAAATCTATTTAAAAAAATAATGAAAGAAAAGTTCCCTAATTTGGTGAATGAAATAGACATTCAAGTTCAGGAAGCACGGAGTCCCAAACAAGATGGATGCAAAGAGGTCCACTCCAAGACACATCATAATTAAAATGCCAAAGGTTAAAAATAAAGAGAGAATCCTAAAAGCAGCAAGTGAAAAGAAGTTAGTTGCCTACAGGGGATTTCTCATATGACTGTTAGATGATTTCTCAAAAGAATCTTTGCAGGCCAGGAGGGATTGGCAAGAAATATTCAAGGTCATGAAGAGCAGGGACCTACAGCCAAGATTGTTCTAGCCAGTAAAACTATTATTTAGAGTCGAAGGGCAGGAAAAGAGCTTCCTAGACAAGAAAAACTAAAGGAGTTCATCATTACCAAACCATTATTATATGAAATGTTAAAGGAACTTATTTAAGAAAAAGAGAAAGATCAAAACTATGAAAATAAAATTACAAAAATACATATTGATCAACAATTGAATCTAAGAAAACAAACTAAACAAACAAAAAGAACAGAGACAGAATCATGGATACAGAGAACTTTTTGATGGTTGTCAGATAAGTGTGGGGTATAGGGGAATGGGTGAAGAGGTGAGGGGATTAAGAAGTACAAATATGTAATTACAGAACAGCTATGGGGATGTAAAGTACAGTGTAGGAAATGGAGTAGCCAAGGAACTATACACAGGACTGGTGGACTAGAACAATGGTGGGGGTATTGCCTGGGGAAGTGGAGGTGCTAGGTGGAAGGGTCAAAGGGGGAAAATCAGGACAACTGTAATAGCATAATCACTAAAATATTATTTAAAAAAATTCTTCTCCTGACAATTTACCCATTTACTCTTTCATGATAATTTCTAGAGGTTTTTAAATACTACATTTTAACCATATCATTTTACCTCTTGAATTTTGTTTTAGCCATCATGCAAGTCCATGAGGATTTCTTCCATTATAAGTCAGGGATTTACAGACATGTCACCAGCACAAATAAAGAATCAGAAAAATATCGAAAGCTTCGGACACATGCAGTCAAACTCACTGGGTAAGGCAGTTTAAAATCTTCATTTAATGCTTTTGGGAAATGAAATTAGTTTCCCTTTATACTCAAGAATCTGATACAAATTTAAAATGATCTAATCCTTAACAGTCCTTAGTCATTATTTTAAAGTTCAGCTCAGTGAAAGGATCACTTTAAATTCTGAGGAATGATTATTCCCTGCCTCTCACTTACTTATAAGTGTGTCCTAAGAATCTGTTCCAAGGACAAGGGAAATATATTAGTTCAATGACGTATTTTACCTATGCATACTTGAAGGAAGGATAGAAGTCCAAAATGTGTTAGAATTTGGTGAAAACGTTTTAAATAAAGTTACAAATAGTAAAGATTAAGCAGGAAGAGAGGGTAGAGTCACCTTTAAGTAATATAAAATTATTTTTTATATTTATGTGAGAATTGTGAAATTAATATTTATCAAAATTGCAAGTAAAATATGTGCAGTCCTGAATTGGCAAGAAACAAGCTCAAAATTAGGTTACATTTCGATAGTTAAGTAATTTCATAAATAGACCCCACTCAGAAAGAGTGTGGCCCTCGAGGTTGCTTTTCTGTGCCTTCCCATGTCATTCTGGCTGCCCACCCGGCAAGTGTTTTCTCATAATGCCTCACTCCAATTCAATGAAACGCTACAGGAAAGACATTTGGGATTTTTTTTTTGGTTCTGTTTTCATCCCAGACTCTCACTTTGCTCATCTTGCTTAATATGGTAAATATCTTCAATCCTAGTGAATATGTGCTTCCTGTTTAAGTTTGATTGAACCTGTACAAAAACCACCTCTGCTGCAACCTAATTGTTAGCTTCTCCTTACTGATCTTTGAAACTCTCTGAGTCAGTTCTAAGGTACGTTATCATGTACAATGTCTCCTTCATCGTCATGCCTCTTTATGTGAAATGCTCTCATATTTCCATTATAAAATCACTATATTTTATTGAATCTAGGATACTACTGATTTTTGGCTTTTCTTGATTTCAAGGATGTGAAAATATGTGCATCTTAGAATTGAAATATATTTGAAGTTAATGCAGGATATTAAAAAAACTACAGGTGAGGGAAACAAAGATAATTTCACTATTCAGTGATAATCTTGCTTAAGAGTTTGGAATAAATATATAGCTTTAGAGAAAGATGGCGAGATAGATAACTAGATATATTTTATAGGAAAATGAGAATACTAAAGTACTTAAAGTTTTATGGCAAGGACAGTTTTGCTAACATTTTTATTAGGAGCACAGAAGAATGCCAGTTTTTCTGTATTCCTGTACCCATTGGGCATTTCACTTTTCCATTTAGTCATATTAAATTTCTGAAGTCATTATAAACATTTGGTGAAAAGTATATCATGAGAGTCTCTCTGTGTTCCTCTCTCTGTTGGTGAAAATTTAGAGAGACAAAAATAGAAAGATCATATAAGTTAACTGCATTTAAAAATGCTAACAATCCCATTAATTTTACTTGAATTTAATGAAATATAGTAAAATAATGTGAAATAAGATATTTTTGATTCTTTAACATAAGAGATACTAGTTTCTAAAGGAACCCTTTATACTTAAGAAAAAATATATTAGAAGAATTAGTGATTGGAGTAATAATTCATTTTTAGCTTCATATTCAATTTTAGATTATATTGATTTGTTTACAGACAAGATGAGGAAATTCACCATTCTTATACTTCTTCCCACCTTAACTCCTTTCATACCTTATATTATTAGTAATATTATTTTTACATATTAAGTGATTACAAAATTTGCATTCTTCTCTGAAATCATAATATACATGGTTTATAATTTCTTACATATTAATGGAATTACTGATAAGCAAACACCTTCTGACCTTGAGTTTCATTTTTATTAAATATTTTAGTGAGTGAATTTCATTTTTAATCAAGAGGGGCTCTCTTTTAATGCCTGTGGTCTCTAATGTCTTGAAAATTTGAGAAAGTGTTTCCTTTCTATTCAGGAATAACTTTAATAAGTATAAAATCCTGGGACTACAGAACCTTTAAACCTTTGTAGATAATGCTCAAGGGTTTCTGAGTCTGGGTTTTCCTGCAGAAAAATCTCTGCTCAACCAGAGATGTTTTTGTCTCTTTATAAGTTACATGACCCTTTCTACTCAAATACTCATATTAAGCTTTCTTTTATCCTTGAATTAGCTATATTCACTTTTAAAAAGTATATATTATTCATAGCTGGATCCTCTATATGCTATTTCACATTTTAATATTTTATTATAATTCTTTATTATTTCATTGTATATGATTTTTCTTCACTCTGTCCCATCTATCCTTGAATGTTTATTGGAGTATTTGGTATTGATTCTCCAAAGAGCTTTTGTCTCTGAAATGTTTATTTTTTAAATTTTTTCCCTTCCCTTTATTTCGGTTGCCTTTTAAGGTCTTTGACCTGTATTCAGAGACTCATGTCTATAATTTCTTGCATCTATGTCTGATTTCTCCAGTTTTCCTGAATATTTCCTAGTCTTTATGTATCTTTTGCCTGATTAAAAAAAAAAATCCTCTAATCTATGCATTTCACCTTCTGTCCCTTCCCTTTCCCAGTCCATTTCCTCTACTACTTTGACCCCAGCTCTCCCTCATCCCCACACATACTTTCAGTAAATTACTCCATTCTATCTGATGTCCCATTTAACTATTCCTTTTCTCCTTGATTCTCACGCTCCCTTTGTTATTTTGTTAAAATATCATGGTGATTCATTATAATTATTCACACATACCTGGACTCCCCTGTCCTTGCTTGATTCATCATATTGGCTTAGCAAAATCTCAAGCCTGGTTAAATGTAAATCAGCCTATTTTGTACCTGTAGCTGTGCATCTGAGCAAAGCCAGAAAAACTACATAACTATGCTGGTTTCACTTTTTATTATAACCACAAATTATTTAATACTATCGGCAATTATATTCTAGATTTTTATTCTGTTTATTGTTCCACTCCCAGTGATTATCTCAAAACCTTTCATTTTGTTTTGAGTCTCTAATACCTCTACCCTTGTTCTCTTAGTTGATAACTTTGAGTTCTATTTCACACACACACACACACACACACACACACACACACACACACACACACAAAGATTAAAGCAATCAGAAATAACTTCCAGTATCAGACATGCCATCTCTCAGCATATATCCTCTCTTACCTTTTTCCACTTCTTACATAAAGCATCCATGGTCTTACCTAAATGCTTCTTGAGTTAGACACCAACCCTTTCCATTATTTAAGAATAAGCAGAAGAGATTTTGCCTTTCTCTTCTTTGTAATCAACCTTATTTCTATCAACATACATGCATGCCATTATTTCTCAGATATTGTAAAAATAAAAACTTTCACTTGCCACAGTCCTAGTTGGTGTAGCTCAATGGATGGAGCATGGGCTGGGAACCAAAGTGTCGCAGGTTTGATTCCCAGCCAGGGTACATGCATGGGTTGTAGGCCATGACCCCCAGCAACCGCACATTGATATTTCTCTCTCTCTATCTCCCTCCCTTCCCTCTCTATAAATAAATAAAAATCTTAAAAAAAAACAAAAAAAATCTTTCACTTGCCTCCACTTCTTCCATACTCTGTTCATGCTGTTTCTTTGCAGTAAACTCATACAAGATTTGTCAGTACTTACTTCACTGTTCTTCACTGTACTTACATCAGTGCTCCTCCACCCATTTTTCTTAAACCCCTCCAGTCATTTTTATTTCCTTGCTCCTCTTTGTAAAAATATCAATTTCAAGGTTATTAATGACCACCACATTACCATATTTATCAGTCCGAATGCAGACCTACTCATCTTTTTCTGATGGTTTTTCTTTTCTGACTGTGATTTTCAGTGTCCTTTGCCAGTTTTTATTTTATTTTTATTTTCCTGTACTCCTTTATTTCTTAATGTTGGAGTGCCCCAGACTCAGTTCTTGGTCCTTTTCTCCCTTCTATTCTCACCCATTCTCTGATGAACTCACCAGTCTCTGAGTTCATCCGGCTTTAAGAATCATCTAAAACCTGACACCAACTGAGTTTATAACTCTAGCCCAGATCTCTCTCCTGAACTCAGACTCATACATTCCACAGCCTACTGACATCACCACTTGGATACCTAATAGATGGCTCAGATTTAGCACTTCCAAACTGAACTCCTGATTTCTGCCTTTACACCTGCTGAACAACATCAATTTTCTCCAGCTTACTTGATGATCATATCCTTTCATGTGCCCTGGCTAGAAGCCATGAAATTTTTCTTGAAATTTGTTTCCTTGCAACTCACTTTCAGTGTGTCAGAAACTATTGTTTCAACTTATATCCAAAATCTAATCACTTTTTACTATAGAAACTACTACCACTCTTGCTTGAATTACCATTACCCAATATTTTGTACCTGGATTCCTTAAGTAGCTTCTAACACATCTTCCTACATTTATATTTGCCCTCAAAAGCCTCTTCTACAGAGAAATAAGAGTGTTCCTCCTACAATACTAGTCAGACTTTGTTACTCCTTTGCTCAGAACCCTACCCTACTTTCCCATTTCCTTCAGAGTAAAACCCAAGGTCCTTACCATGGCCCACAAAGGCCTACATGATCTGAGGATGTCCCTAAGTCTACCTGTCTACACCCTCATCAGCTTTCTGAGCTCAGTTTCTACTCACCTATGCTGTGTTTTCCCTGCTCTAGTAGCCCTTTGATGTTTCAGGAACCCACACCTCAGGGTCTTTCTTTCTGCCTAAAATGCTCTTTTTATCAGACATCTGATTTCTTGGTTTCCATGTCTCCACTGTGTACATGCTTAGACTTCATCTGCTCAGTGTAGCTTTGCTGACTGTCTTATTTAATGTGGCTCCCTGCCCTCCTCTCCAGCACTTGTGATGCCTGTTACAGGATCTATTAGTTTTTATGACAACTATCATTTTCTAACATACATTTAACTTCATTAGCTTTGTATGTTCATTGTATATTTTCTGTCTCCCCTACTGGAATGAAG